TTCTGGTCCTGGCTCTACCACTTACCCAGAGGGTGGCCTCTGGCCAACCTCTCAGTGAACTTCATCACCTGTAAAAAGGGAATAGTAATTTGTGCTGTGTCCTGTCTACCCCCCCCCCCCCCCGCCCCGGCCACGTGAGATCCTGGGCGGTTTTGTTGTTTGTTTTGCTTCTTTGACGTAAAACACTATTCACATGTAAAATCTGAAGGTGGTGATGAGGCTGGCGTTGGGACTCAGGGCACCATGCAATGTAAAGGGGTACCATGGTCAGGCAGGACCGGTCCAGCTCGCAGGCGACCACGTCTGTCACACAGCACCTTCGGCTCCACAGTGACACTGCTCTCAATAAAACAAGAAACGGGAGAGGCCGCGACAGACAGACAGAAATTAATGCACGGACCCAATTAGGCTTTCCTAGTCATTATCATTAGTATTATATTATTGTTATTATTTTACCATCCATGATCTAAAAGGCCCTAAGAAATGTTTCCTAAAGAGGAAAACGAGAGTCAAGCAGTTGGCTAGAACCCAGGGCTCACCGCGAGCCGTGCTGCGTTCCTTCCTCTAAGGCAGCAAGTTGCACACTCAGATATACTTATTTTACAAAGCAGAGTGTGGAGCTATATAAATAGAAAGGTCTGTCTGTATTCAAATTATCAGAGAAAAGCTAGAAGAAAATACTTATTGTCTCTGTATTTTGTAAATTTCCACACTAAGTAAATGTTAGTTTAAAAAATGAGTAAAAATACTCTAAATTATATGATGCTCATGGTCATCTAAGTAAAAAAAAGGTAGTTCTAATCGTGAGCCCATTTTCAGAGGGTCTGAAGGAGCTTTTCCCAGCCACTGAGATTAGGAAGGAAGAACACAGTCCCGGGACAATGAGACAATTACTAGGTGGGGCTTTTCTCTGACTTTGTTTCATGTCCCTGGGTTTAGCTTTCTTCAGAAATATTGTCCAAAGACCATAGATCATTGATCTGCTCTAGTTTTACAAAGCTCATGTTAATTAAGAGTTTCTAATAAAATAATTATGACCCTTGCTAAGCCAGGCCGTGGTAAGCTTGGGGTAAAATGTGCTATAAATACTCTGTGGCTGCACTGCTGCAAAGTTGTGAGCAATGCAGCATTTTAGAAATTCAATTGCACATCATCAGGGCCTGGCCCTTTACAGGGAATGCTAACGTGTCCAGGTAAAATCATGCTGAAAGTTAACACAACAGAACTGTTTTATCATGCACCTACTGAACTTTATTTTTAGAATCACTTTTAGAAAGGCTAGCTTAAATAATTTTTTTTTTAAATGTCTAAGTCCTCCTCCCCTGGCTTTGACAGAACTGATTCCAGGTGGTGGGGTGAAGGCATTACACAGCAAAAAAAAACAAAAACAAAAAAAAAAACCCATCAAGCAGAAAGTTAAATCTTCTTTCCTTAAAACATGATATTTCCAGACACAGAATTTCAAAACTGACTAAGCTTATATTTGGAACAATAGAAAGATAGGAAATGTTTTCAATTTTTTTAAATACTTCAATTAACTTTTCATAAAAACAGTCACCAACAGAAATATAAGACAATATTCAATGAACAAAAATTCTGGCAAGAGAGACAAACACCATTTCACTGCTTAATGTTAGCAAAAGAACACTATGGTTCAGATGGAGGTGGTTTAATTAAAGATGATTAGAACACATACATCCCAATTTTCCAGACAAGAAACAGCCTTTCTTTCCTGATAATATGTTTATTTTGCTCTCAACATCTGAAATCAAAACAAAAGTCAAAGCTGCTTTTAAAGTTTGACATCCCAAGTGTCCAGTAGAAATAAGTATTATAGTTTTCATTTTCCTTTTGTTCCCTCTTCTGGGGACAGGCCCTAGCTCCCTGCTTCAATAACCCCTAAACTAATTAGCAAAAGATGGTGTATGAATGATCGTTCCTCCTGAGTTCTAACCTCAGCTCCCAGGCAAAAGGATCAGGTGAAACACGTCACCGCAGGTGGGAGAACACACAGGCCGTCCACTCTTAAGAACAACCTACCAGCGTGACAGAACGGGGTTCCTTCCAGAGGCTCTCGCTTGCTGCCCGGTTCCCACACCCCATCCTCGCATCGCTGTGTATCAAAAAAAGATTCTTTAAAATGTAAAGCAAATATGGGAAGAAGGAAGAAAATGCACAGCTCCTTATTTTTCTAACCTTATTATCTGACCCAATAAACCTCTTAAGAATAAAATAAATATATATAAGCACCTTATGCAAAGGGTGTCTTCCCACAGTCACTGGCTGAGACCTCACATCTGCTCTCTCTCAACTACAAAGTGAACGTCTGCACTTCATCCACTGAAGGAGCACACAATGTGCTCTGTATTTCCCTAAAAAAGGATTTAAAACTCACTGTACCTGATGATAAAAACGTGTACATTTTAAATTTTCATGTAAATCATATGTGTAACTTACGTACTTAAAATAAATTATAAAAGTTTCAGAGTCAAACCCAACAGTGTTGTAAATTCAGTTAATCCTTATGCTTTTTTTCCTTTCTTGTTAATACTTTCACATTTTGTAGCCTTATTGTCGTTAGAGTAAAAAATGCAGTCTTACATTTCTATGAAAAATATTAGTATGATAAATGTTCTTCAAAAATATGTGACAAAGGAAAACAAATGTTATAGATTTTTAAAGGTTTTATACTATACTCACTGATAACCATAACCTTCAAGTCACCTTCAAAAATACTGATTAAAGTGAAGAGTCTAATGCAAAATAAAACATTTTGCTAAATGTGAAACTGGATCAATCATTTTTTGAGCCATGGGAACTTTTTTCCTTGATAGGGCGACTGTTACTTTGCTGCATTAACTGTTGTGGTCAGACTGAGCAATACTGCATGTGACACTAAAGTTACTTAGAATTTTAAGTTACAGAGTCTAGACACTCGCTGAATTTAGCTTGAGTAATGGGCCGTTACTGTGTTTGTACTCAATGCTTCCCTCCTGAAACCGGTTGGGAGCGTAACAGTTTCTGAGCTAGTTAAATACAAGGCAAAACAGTCTCATTGTGAAGTTAGACATGTGTTTCTGTGTAAATGTCTCTCTGCAGAGTCATCTCATTTCCTCAGACCTGAAGAACAGAACAGCAGCTGTCTGCACATTGGCCATTTGCTCTCATTACAGGAAATACTTGCAGTGCGAACGCAACATGAAATTGCCATGGGCTGCTATGTTTTTTAAATAAAAGTAGAACGTAATAAGTAACGAAGGCATAATTACTTCAGAAGTAGCACTCGGCCTTATCTGATGACATGTGTCTCACAGTCCAACCTGGAGACTGGTAGGACTTCACAAAAGAGCAACGCATTTTCCTTCTCTTTTCTTTCATTTATTCATCTGAAACCAGAAAACCCTGTTTTTACCAGAGTCACAGGTCAGCCCCTCGCTCTGTCGTCTGCCTCTCCCAACAGCTGGAGACATGAGCTCTTTGCCTGGGAGCTAACCCACCCATCACTCAGCAAACTAGCACAGCCTTCCCACACACAGCCCGCAATGCTGCAGTTTGACATTCATGAACCAGAAGCAACTCCCTACATTAACCCCTGCAATTTTAAAATTCAAGGGGGCCAAGAGATCTTCTGAAAAATAAAATCTAAAAATAAAAACCTCTAGAAACCCAAGCCCTCTCTGATTCCTTACTGATTGACATGCTCTCACCACTTAACAAAACCTGGGCTAGAGAAAGTGCACTGTGGAAAGAAAGCATTAAGTCCAGGTCCCTGCTTTTCACGAGCAGTGGTTTCTTCTCAGCCACAGCAAGCCGTCACCTGTGCCATGGCCCCAGCAAACAGGGTCGTCCGACCCGCATACCGCTCCTCACCTTGTCTTGCTGTGTTCTAAACTTTTTCACCCTAAATTTCCCCCAAAAGACAGTTTAACAGCAGTGCACCAGGCAGCAGGAAGTTGGTGTAGATTCTTTGTCTAAATAAACATGCTTAAAAACATGGCAAATCTATTCCAAATTAGTCATTAAAATCTAAGTGAGGAAATGCATTAGATTTTAAATGGAAGAAAATGTCTGGTTTTATTCAAGGTTGTGGTGAATCAGTTTGGCAACTTTTAAATTAATTTTAAATTAATTCAGATGCTTTTCAATCATCGCTGTTGCCCACAGGGAATACTGAAGGGGAAGATGACAAGGCAACTGTTGGTGCTCAAACTCATACACTGTATTTCGCTGGACTTTTCATCTCAGCAGATTTCAAATTCCCTTCCCGAGGAATATTTGACCTTCAAATTTCAGGCCCTGTACCTCTTGATTTCGTGCACCCGTCATATGTTAGAAAACTCAAACTGGCTACAAATATATTATTTCTGTTACTTGACTTTAATGAATTTTTAGTGGTTTTCACAATCTGCAATCTGTTCGCGGTGCCAACCCTGCATTGCAGAGAAATCCTAGCGTGGGTTTCCAGCTTTGGCTCCTGCAAACAAAGTCACTACAAACAGGTTTTAATTGTCTTTGCTCTGGGAAAAGTGGAGGCAGGAAACCCCCACACCCGCCAACGTGACAGGCAACGCGGGGATGAGCCCCCAGGAAGCCCCGTCCCCAGGCCTGCGGGCGTGGGCGCTGTCCCTGGTGCTGCCGGCGCCACCGCGCGCTCCCGCGCGCCTTACCTTCCTCCCCCACGGAAGCGGCGGGCGTCCCCCCAACGATTAGCAGGACACAGCGTCACATCCCACTTTTAATGCAAATAACTACCCCGGCCCATCCAACCTCTTTGTCCCCTTCCAGAAGACTTCGGGCCGATCGTTCTTCAGAGTCTTTTTGTTGTTTGTTTTTTTTTTTTTCTTCTAGTCCCAACTCGCTCCTCCCCGTCTGCTTGAAAAGGAAGAGTCGGGGAAGGGGAGCGAGGCCAGGAGAGACGGGGATGGGGGAGGGGAGGGGTGGGGGAGGGGAGGAAGGAGATGGGAAGAAGGGACGGGTGGGAAGGAAAGGCCCCGGGGGCAGGGGCTCGGAGCAGGGCTCCGAGAGTGGGACTGAACAGGGTTTAAAGTGGGAGGGCGAAGAGATGCCAAAAAGAGAGAAGTGATAAAGACAGAAAATGGAGAGAGACAGAAGTAACGAAGAAAAGAGAGAGACAAGAGAAAGTCGAGAGGCTTAGAGTGCAGAGGCTAAGAAAAAAGCGAGGTGGCCAGGGGGCGGGGAGAAAGCTGCCCGAACGGCGGGAGAGGGAAAAGACAAAGAAAGGGCGTTGTGTGAAAACTGGCAGCGAGGGTGAAACGCGCCGCGCGAAGGTGGAGAGGAAGGCGGAGAGGGGGCCTGCGGAGGGACTACTGGTCTGGGACTGAGGGAGAACCGGGGAGGGGCCCGGGACGAGGCCGCCGGCTCGGGCCCGCTGCGGCGGGGGCCCACGTGGAGCCGGCGCTGAATCACTGCGGGGCTGTCTGTACACCCTTCCCCCCGCACCCCCAGGTCCGGAGCCCGCAGTCCCCGCCTCCTCGGCCGCCGCCTCCACGGGGCGGGGCCCCAGCCCGGGACCCGCAGCCGCGGCTATAAATGGGCAGCGGCGAGCCCAGCAGAGCGCTGTGACAGCCACGCACCCCGAGGCCTCCAAGATGAGCTACACGTTGGACTCGCTGGGCAACCCGTCCGCCTACCGGCGGGTCACCGAGACCCGCTCCAGCTTCAGCCGCCTCAGCGGCTCCCCGTCCAGCGGCTTCCGCTCGCAGTCGTGGTCCCGCGGCTCGCCCAGCACCGTGTCCTCCTCCTACAAGCGCAGCGCGCTCGGCCCGCGCCTCGCCTACAGCTCGGCCATGCTCAGCTCGGCTGAGAGCAGCCTCGACTTCAGCCAATCCTCGTCCCTGCTCAACGGCGTCTCCGCGACGGGCGGCGACTACAAGCTGTCCCGCTCCAACGAGAAGGAGCAGCTGCAGGGGCTGAACGACCGCTTCGCGGGCTACATCGAGAAGGTGCACTACCTGGAGCAGCAGAACAAGGAAATCGAGGCGGAGATCCAGGCGCTGCGGCAGAAGCAGGCCTCGCACGCCCAGCTGGGCGACGCGTACGACCAGGAGATCCGCGAGCTGCGCGCCACACTCGAGATGGTGAATCACGAGAAGGCTCAGGTGCAGCTGGACTCGGACCACCTGGAGGAAGACATCCACCGGCTCAAGGAGCGCTTCGAGGAGGAGGCGCGGCTGCGCGACGACACCGAGGCGGCCATCCGAGCGCTGCGCAAAGACATTGAGGAGGCGTCGCTGGTGAAGGTGGAGCTGGACAAGAAGGTGCAGTCGCTGCAGGATGAGGTGGCCTTCCTACGGAGCAATCACGAGGAAGAGGTGGCCGACCTGCTGGCCCAGATCCAGGCGTCGCACATCACCGTGGAGCGCAAAGACTACCTGAAGACAGACATCTCGTCGGCGCTGAAGGAGATCCGCTCCCAGCTCGAGAGCCACTCCGACCAGAACATGCACCAGGCAGAAGAGTGGTTTAAGTGCCGCTACGCCAAGCTCACCGAGGCAGCCGAGCAGAACAAGGAGGCCATCCGCTCCGCCAAGGAAGAGATTGCCGAGTACCGGCGCCAGCTGCAGTCCAAGAGCATCGAGCTCGAGTCGGTGCGCGGCACCAAGGAGTCCCTGGAGCGGCAGCTCAGCGACATCGAGGAGCGCCACAACCACGACCTCAGCAGCTACCAGGTAAGAACCGCGGCTGCGCGGCCAGCCTGCGCCAGCGCCAGCGCCGCGCGCCCCCGACACTCAGGCGCGCGCCCCAGCGCGCTCTCCGCCGCGCTCCCTGGCGGCCGCAGGCCAGTGCGCGCGAGCGCGACGCACACCCAAGTTAGAGGCACAAAGCTTGTCCGCCCCTGCCGATCACTCCCACATCTTCCCCCGCCCACCATCGCCGGCTTCGAAAAGCCCTGATGACCTTTTTTTCAAAATGCGCTTCTTGTCCTCGGGAGTTCTAGTTTTTGCACGCTTGCATATTTAAAGTAGGAGGTATATACATTTGGGTAGTTGATAAAGTAGTAACTTTAATATAGCTTCTGCAGACACGCATGTATTCTCTCCTTTTCCAGCGGTGAACAGAAGAATTTTCACAATTAGCTTCAGCCCAGAGGGCTCCGATGGGAAGGGCCAGGTCAGGCCTGCGGTTTCCCCATGAGTGTTTTATCCTCCCGAGACGTACTCTGAATCCACTGGGCTTAGTGAGTGAGGTGCCCAGGAAATGTCTTACTGATCCCATTTGTTTATTTGAGAATCCCTTAGATTTTGTTTAACGGGAGAAGGGTGTGGGGGTGGGGGTGAGGAGGGGGGTTGGGAGCGGTATCCGAGGGGGTTGCAGAGCTAGAGAGAGTCGGGGGAAGGGACGGTGGAGATGGGGAGCGGTAGCAAGCGGTTCGCGAAAGAAAGTTGCAGCTTGGAAGGGTGAGTCGATCATTCCGTGTCTGTTTCAGGACACCATCCAGCAGTTGGAAAATGAACTTCGAGGCACGAAGTGGGAAATGGCTCGTCATTTGCGGGAATACCAGGATCTCCTCAACGTTAAGATGGCTCTGGATATCGAGATAGCTGCTTACAGGTACGGCGTTCACTGCGGACGTGACCGAAATACCGCACTGCGGAGGCTGATCTGAGAGAACCTCCCTCACTTAAGTAAAGCAAGCAGATTTCAGAAGTCTTAAATCAGTGCCTGCTTTCCCTTCTTCGTTAAAAAGAAATTATTCTAAAGAATTGCGAATGCCGTTTTACCACTTTTTATACAGCTTTAAAAGAGTAAGCATCAGTTGAAATTGAATTGCATTGAAATGGAATCAGTTGAATTACGTGGGGGGGGCACAGATTAATTTCAATGCTACGCCTAAGCTGTCTATTTTAGTGAAAAGTGTTTTCAAAATGTTTGAAGCAAACGCGGAGTTTCCATATTTAATATTTCGTCTGATGGTTTCAGCTTTTCCACATTGCAGTGTCAAGGACAAACACCAGGACATTCCATTTCTCCATTTCTCTGTTGCAGCTTACTATTGCCATCCTCTGGCTGAGAATAGATATGGAGTGATATAGTAGAATATATATATTTTATAGCTATATAGGTAATTTAAATGTATTCTATTTTATATTGCATAATATAGATTATATGTCTAGGTATATAGGTCATGTATGATATATACGTACATATATCTACATCCAGAGACATAAATGTACAGGTATAAATCTTAATGTAAATAGGTTTACATCTATAGATATAGCTAGACAGCCAGAGGCAGAGAGGAGAGATTATAGGTCTACTAACTGAAGTCACCTTGCTGTTGACTTAAGTTCACAGGAGAAAGTCATTGACTAAACAGTTTTTCTACTACCAATAAGGTCATTATAATATTATAAGAATAAAGTGAACTCCCAGAGCTAGCTTTCTTTTCAGGAAAGCCGAATAATTATATTGAAAAACACTTTATGATTAAATTTGTAGATCAGTTTATAACTTGATAAACCCACATTAGCGCCCAGCTATTACATAGATGTAGATGTAGGTATAGACACATAGCCTGAGTTCTGATGTATGCTAAATAGTTTTGTACATTTTTTGAGCATCGTATTTGCTAAAAGAAATTTAGTATATACATCCTGAAAGTTCTGATGCTCAGGAAGATGACTAAGGGGGTTGGTGGTGGTGTTTTACCGCTGGGAGCTTTTCAAATTGCACCAAATGGACCGACGCCGCATGGGGACTTGGTGACTAGGTCTGATTAGTGGACCACTGGGTGTGGTTAGTTACTGCAGCAAGTGACTGGCTAGTGGTCATGAGTGTCTGTCACTGACTATAACACAATATACCACTGAAACGATAGCAGGGATTGTGCCGACTTGATGGAATCCTTTACTGATGTGATTCTACTTATTCAGAGGCATCTACTGCATTTCCCCTTATGTCATGAAGCTCAGAAGGCCCAGTAAGATTTTCATGTTGCCTTTGTCTTTGATTCTTTCCTTAGAAAACTCCTGGAAGGTGAGGAGACCAGATTCAGCACATTTTCAGGAAGCCTCACTGGGCCCCTGTACACACACAGACAGCCCTCCATCACAATATCCAGCAAGATCCAGAAAACCAAGGTAGAGGCTCCCAAGCTGAAGGTGCAACACAAATTCGTCGAGGAGATCATAGAGGAAACCAAGGTAGAAGATGAGAAGTCAGAAATGGAAGAGGCCCTGACAGCGATTGCAGAGGAATTGGCAGTTTCCATGAAAGAAAAGAAGGCAGAAGAGGCAGAAGAAAAGAAAGAGGAACAAGAAGCTGAAGAAGTGGTAGCAACCAAAAAGTCTCCAGTGAAAGCTACGGCACCGGAGCTGAAAGGAGAGGAAGAAGGAGAAAAGGAGGAAGAAGAGGAGGAGGAGGAAGATGAGGGTGCCAAATCAGACCAAGCCGAAGAAGGGGGATCCGAGAAGGAAGGTTCTAGTGAAAAAGAGGAAGGTGAACAGGAAGAAGAAGGAGAGACAGAGGCAGAAGGTGAAGGAGAGGAAGTCGAAACAAAGGAAGAGAAGAAAACTGAGGAAAAGAGGGAAGAAGTGGTCTCCAAGGTGGAGCTGGTAGCAGAAGCCAAGGTGGAAAAGCCAGACAAGGCCAAGTCCCCCGTGGCCAAATCGCCAGTGGAGGAGCTGAAGCCCAAAGCAGCAGCTGGAGCTGGGAAAGGCGAGCAGAAAGAAGAAGAAGGGAAAGTGGAGGAAGGAAAGAAAGAAGCAGCAAAGGAAGCTCCCAAGGAGGAGAAGGTGGAGAAGGTAGAGAAGAAGGAGGAGAAGCTAGAGAAGAAGAAAGCGGCATCCCCGGTGAAGGAGGAAGTCACGCAGGAGGTGGTGACCATCACCAAAACGGTAAAGGTGAGCGTGGAGAAAGGTGCCAAAGAGGAGGGGAAGCCTGAGCAGCAGGAGAAGGAGAGAGCAGAAGAGGAGGGAGGGAGCGAGGAGGAAGGCAGTGATCGCGGGTCAAAGGAATCCACGAAGGAAGACATAGCCATCAACGGGGAGGTGGAAGGCAAGGAGGAGGAGGAGCAGGAGACGAAGGAGAAAGGCAGTGGGGGAGAAGAGGAGAAAGGCGTCGTCACCAACGGGCTGGACCTGAGTCCAGCAGATGAAAAGAAGGGGGGCGATAAAAGCGAGGGGAAAGTGGTGGTGACCAAAAAGATAGAAAGAATCACCAGTGACGGGGAAGATGGTGCTACCAAATACATCACTAAATCTGTCACCGTCACTCAGAAGGTCGAAGAGCATGAGGAGACCTTTGAGGAGAAACTGGTGTCTACTAAAAAGGTAGAGAAGGTCACTTCACATGCCATAGTGAAGGAAGTCTCCCAGGGCGACTAATTGCAAAAGTCCATTGCAAAAGGTTAAGCCATATGACAATTTCAAAATGCATGTAATTGACAGCTTCAAAATAGAACGGGTTCTCCCATGGGGGCTCCAGACATTGTATTTTACTTTGTGCAATACGAGGGAACTGCATGCAAGCTCAGGATGCTCCCTCCTCAGTCTTTGGGGGGTTCAAATGCATGATATTGTATGTACCTGGGGAATTGGCCAATTTCCTAAGCTGCTGGAAGGGGGGCACTTGGAGAGGGGATGTTTTGACATGTATTATGCAAAGAACCAACTGAGCCAAAAATAAATGAAACACAGAACTCTCTTAGCCTTAAGAAAGCTATATATGAATAATTATGTTTACCTCACTGGTGCATTTAAAATGGACTTTCTTTCATGGGAGAACCTCGTTGACATGCACAGTTTGCAACCTTTCTTTGATTGATACTAAATGTTACAGCAGTACTTGCTCAATAAAGGTCATATTGGAAACATAGTTGATTGCTTGGTGTTGATGTCATTTCAAAGGGATGTCTCCACTGCCTGACCCTTTGTTTCCTAAGAGTAGATTATTTGGGAGATTATAAGCAATCTGCATTTCTTATCAGTATTTCCCTGAGAGTGAATTCTTGGAAAAGACAATCATTGAAAACATTTTCAGGTGTCAAAATCTTTACTTAGCCCACCCTTCATCCCAAATTTTCAAAGTTACAGTTTTTGAAAGAAAAATACAAGCTTCCAATAAAAAGGTAAAGTTGGTGGGATAGAAATCTTGCTCTCTTGGTGTTTCCATCCAAAACCAGAACTCAGAGAACCTCAGGTGAGAGAGGCATGTAAAGGAGTCTTAACTTGCTCCCTGGAGTTGGAACACAAAGGACCTTGTGGCATCTATAGCATTGTGTCCAAAAGAAGCGGGACTGAAAATCACTATCAGTCCTAAGTGGAAATACGCAGTCTCAGGCGCTTTGTTCTGGTGTGTGTAAACACACACACACACACACACACACACACACCATGCAGCACTAACTCTTTGTATGGTCAATGGAGATTTATACTTCAGGTGCTTTACTGATTGGGGTAAGTAATGTCAAATGAAAACCAGATTCTCTAATATAAGCACTTGAAGTCTTTTCGGGGGGGGTTTTGGTTTTTGGTTTTTGGATTTTTTTGCTTATTAACTCACTGCTTTATTTTTTAAGCACAAATGGGTTGTAAGGAAATTTTAAAATTTACACTGCACCATACAGTTTTCCATACAAGCAGAGTATTTGCCATTTTCCAGGACATAGCACTGTGGTCATAAAAGTCCATTTTCAAATTCAGACACCACCACCGCAGAACACTCCTTCCACCATCAAATCCCTGACGTTTTCCTGTTTGTTTGTTTTCAGTAACAGGTGAAATGTTAGTGTACGTCTGGGAAGCCCTGGGCCTTTGGGGAGGAAGCCAGCGCGAGCCTGCGGCAGCCCCGTGAGAGAAGCAGGGGCAGCGCCGGTTGCACGTGGCCCGTGGCCACGGTTTTAAAACCATGCTGATGGGGAAGAGTCAGTTTATCCCTATTTCATTCTACTTACTCCTGGAAGCTGACTTTTAGTAAATCTGAAATTAAATTACAGAAAGTCTGTTAAATTTTACACATACAAAAATCCTGAAGCAAGAGATGGGATTCTCCGCGCGCTTGTTCTCTCTTGTGGAAGAACGTCTTCACTAGACAAATTCTCTGCAATCCTCCAGGGTCATGCCTCAAGTTAGCAAATGCCGTTCACCCTAAGTGGTTTTTCTTTAATATTTTAAAAGCCTGATCTTGACCAAGGAAATAATACAAATCCTTTTTCACAGTGTCTGTTCTAGACCTTGAAAATCATTAATAATTTATTAATTAATGCATTATTTGTTCCAAGTCTATGGAGTTTTTTTTCTTATCAACAAGATCATCCCAATAATATAATCTTGGATCCTCTTAATGGCTTTTCAAATTATCTATTTTAATCTCTAAGTATACCCAGGAAGCTCACTGCTGTCAATATTTGTAATAATTTCTCTCCATCGTTTAATTTGTCCACCCTCATAATTTTTGTTACATCTGCATCTGACTTGTACAAATATTTACCTTCGTTCTTTAAAATGACTTATGTTTTATGCGATAGTAATTTTTAAATACCATCAGCAAAAACTTACTCTGGTTATGTAGAATTAAAAAATAAACAAGAGAATATTGGGAGGATTCAGGTGAAGTCTGAGGATGGAAGGATGACTTAAGGAGGCAGGTGTAGGGGAGACCAGCTGGGAAAGCCCCCGCTCACAGGGCGCACGGCGCAGCCACAGGGCTCACCAAGCTCAGCGCTTTGGTCATTTCATGGGAGGTTCTAAAATAGAGCATCCATTTGCCCCACGCCCAGGGCCAGCCAGGGAAGAAGCACTTTGATTGACAGTCCCACCAAGGCTCACACCAACGGGGAAGCAGCATTTCCCCAAAGTCTGGGAGATACTACCTGATGTGGGAACAGAGGCTGGATCTATATGACAAGCTAGTTGAATTTTCTAAATACCTACTAATATATTGCCATTACTGTAAAAACGCTATTCTGTCTATTACTAAAATCATCTCATTTATCAGAGCTGGCTCCTGAGTCTTTGGAGTTTGGAGACCCCTTTTTTTGGCATCACTGTTGAAGGACGACGGGACCAATCAGCAGCCCCTCCGCCACCCCACGGCCAAGGCCAGCCCTGGCGACTTGGCCCGTCAGCTCCTAACTCTGTTTTCAATCATCTCATTTTTTTTTCCATGAAGAAAAGAATCTGATGATATTTTCACATATTCCAAAAAACAGACCCTTTTCTTTCCCTCTTGAAATACAGTAAAACAACATACTTTTGATAAGCCATGCAGACATTTATTAATGTATCAAATTGCTTGGTTAATTCATTAAATCAAATATTTATTGTAGCCCAGGGCCTAGGGATACAGCGATTTTTTTTCTTCACTAATTCCGTTGTCAATGTCAATTGCTATGTTACTGTTTAAAGAGGGAACAATTTGAAATTCACATTTCCCAATATGTTCAGTGCCACTAAGCACAAACTGCCAAGTGTTTAGAAAATTAGAATACCTTTCCTCTGACTACAATCAGCCCCTGGCTACAATGACATTAAGCCTTTGAAAAATACAGTCTACATTTCCAGTAGATTGCCTTAGACATGTTATCTCATTTCAAATATTGTAAGAGGTACCAAAGCTATTTACTTCTCAATTTTCAAACATAAGGAAATTGAAGCACAGAACATCTTCTTTTTAAAAAAACTTCCCTCTGGGCCACACAGCTGATAGATAATAGAGGTGGGATTTAACCCAGGCTTTCCAGCTCTGAAGCAGATACTCTTAATCCCTCATACTACACTGTCCCCCAAACCCGCCCACTGTGGTCCCTTCAGTTCATAAAGAAGATCTGCCATGTTTCCTTCTTTCTCTCCAGATTGAAAGAAAGAAAAGAACGCCATGCCACAAATTTTTCATTTAATATGCTTACAACTCCCATCTTATGCAATGGCACTGTTTGAATCATGAGAAGAATAAAACATCCAGATACAAAATAAGTGATGATTTCTTCTACCACAACAGCTTGCGCTGCACAAAAATGTGGTAAACACTCTTCTCGTGGTAACTTTAATAACCAATGGAAAAGGAGAGCTATTTCGGGCGCACTGCCTTCTGTTGCCAGTCAGTATAGAGACAGTATTAAAACATTGGGTATTCATTTTCACAACAAATAGGTTAGTTCTTCCAGCTTGGCGCAAATTATTTTTTTCCTGGTGGTTTATGTAACCTGCCTAAAGGGAAATGAAAGCTATTTCTAAGTGAATTATTTTATTAAATCTACACAAGACTTGTTTACTTCCAGGGCTTCTCTACCCTTAGATAGGTAGAGCTTTGGCAAAAGCACTGGACTTGAGTTCAAGTTCCAAGTCTCATGTCTGTAAATAGTAAAAGTGGGTGTCATAAGTCCATTATATTATTCCTCAAGGTTTTGCCATAGACTGAATGCTTGCGTTCCTCAATTCATCTATTAAATCTTCATGCCAAATGTGATGGTGTTCAGGCTTTGGGCTTTCGGAGGTGCTTATGTTACGATGGCGGAGTCCTCATGAACAAGATTACTGCCCTTAAAAAGGAGCCCCCAGAGAATTCCCTTGGCCCTTCTGCCATGTAGAGACATCGAGAAGCAGCCATCTACGGACCGGAAGGTGGGCCCTCACCAGACACTGAACCACAGCGCCTTGATCTTGGACTTCCAGCCTCCAGAACTGTGAGAAGTAAATTCCTGTTGTTAATAAGTGTGTTGCCGCGGCACAAACTCTCTAGACAGTTTGCACCTCCTTAGCTGTAAGACAGGGGTTCAAAGGGTTTCTGAGGTCATTCAGAGAGGTGAGTCCCGCGAGAGTGTCCGAACTGCACAGGCGCATGGGAGCTGATCGATGCCATTTGTGGAAGATATTGAATTTTAAACCAGAGCGAAGCTATAGGTGCAGAATGTCATTCATTTCAAGGTAAGCAATTAATTGGGAGACAGATTCCAAGATGGCTGCTGAGTAGGTAGAAGCTATACTCATCTACTCCCAGTGCCAAACCAGGTTTACAGGAAAACCTGTAGAGCAATCAACCTGAATAAACACCTGAAGGCTAGCGGAACTGAAATATTAGAATGAAGGATTGATAGGAGCAGCCACACAGAGACTGGTAAGAAGGGTGGATATGCAGAAAGGGCTGGCCCCTCCACCCACGTGTGGTGGCTGAGAAGCTAGAGGGATATCTCAGCTGCAACACTCCCTCCCTTCAGGAACAGGGGGTCTCAACCCCACCCAGGCGTCCTCAATCCAGAGCAACAGAGATGGGAAAAGGAACCCATATGGCACCTCGTGGTGAAAATCAGGGGAGATTCAGTCTTCCGGGGAGAGAAGAGAGTCGTACCACCTTCCCCGGGTCGCGCACTCCTGTCGTTACAGCACCAGCCTGGGGCGCGCACCTTCCGATCTCCAGGCTGCCGGTGATGCCACTCCGCTCCGCTCGGGTCCTGCGGAGGGGTTGGCCCACTACGCCCGGCAGTGGCCTTTAGGGTCCTCTTTGTTCGGGGAGGCTTCTGGTGGAGAGTCCAACAGTGACTGAACTGCGTGGCTTTGGAGAGGGGCTCGGTCTTCCTCACCTTGAGCACACAGCCGTCAGCCCCCAAACACACTGACTGAATCACTTGGCCTGCCCCACCCTCCTGAGGTTCACTCATGCAGAGAGCTCAGAATGGACTTTCAGAGGGTGTCTCCCAGAAAGGCCCTTGTTTGGGTATCGGACAGGAAACAGACAGGTGCCATTTGTGTGGCTGCTTCACTGTATAAAGGACCACTTGCATCTCCTCTGTGAGCTCAGCCCCTGCTACCCTGGGAAAGGGAAGAAGAACCCGCCCCCAT